GCCGGCCTCACCTCCTCGGCATGCTTGCGCAGCGCCTTCTCCCGCTCGTACTGGGTGATGAGCTGCTCGTTGTCGTCCCGCAGGAGCTCCAGCTCCACCTGGTGCTCTTGGTCCTGCGCGAACACCGAGTCCAGATTCTCCAGCACGGCCACCACCAGCGGCATCAGCTCCTTGACCACCTCCTCGTCGTAGCGCCCGATGAGCCGCTCGAACTCGCGGTAGATGGAGCCGGCCAGGCCGGACACTCGTTCCGACATCACGGCCCCGGAGCCGCCGGGCTCCTCCTGGTACACCACACCGTCCTCCAGCTCCATGGTGGCGGGCGGGCTGGCAACCCGGGGCGTCGCCGGCTGAAGGGGCGGCGCGGGCCCGTACGGGACGGGCCCGGCAGGAGCTGGGGCTGCGCCCGCTGGGGTGGGGGCCGGGGCCGGAGGAGGGGAGGGGTGGGGTGAGCGCACTCACCCCAACCGCCGCTGCACCAACTGCCTGAGCGGCTGGGCCGCGAGCGCCACACGTCATCCGTGGGGAGGGGCTGGTGTCGCGTCAGCCCAAGGGGCGGGGCCTCCGGGAGCCCAGGCGCGGCTGGGGGCGGGGTCAGACGTCATCTTGCGCGGCGGTGGGAGAGAGCCGTGGCGTCTATATCCGGCGCCATGCAGATCGTGCACTTGCCAATGAGAAAGAGTGGGAGCTCAGGGTGGGGAGAACTATCAGCGCGAGGCGGGATTTGCTGGGTGGGTCCTAAAGGAAAGGGAGGGGCTCTTGAAAAGTGACTCGCTGTCCAGAATTGACATAGTAATATTTCTATTGCTTTTTACGGCTCGTGAAACGCTTTCTCATTTGAGCCTCCGAATGTGCGCCGTTCAATAGATATTTATCCCTAGTTCAGAGATGAGGAAAACTAGGCCCAGAAAAGTTACGGTTCACTCAAGGTCACTCAACTAGCACTGGAACAAGCTGGGACTCAAACTAAGAAAATTCTGGCCTCAGAGAAAAGTAGAAAACAGAAAAGGAGGGAAAACGATCTTAACTAGGGTAGGGTCTGTCTGGTTAAGGAGCGTCTAAGACAGAATAAGTGCCAAACATTCTGGAGAAGGATAAAGCTTTAACGCCACATAAATTTCTTGGCTTCTCACTACCAACTTGGGAGAGTGGTATTTCCTGTCTCGAGCCACACTCCTCCCCAACATTTAAAGGGCAGGCTGAGCGAAGAAGTGGAGAATTGAGGAGGGAAGGGGTGGAGTCACTAGAATGAATAAGTCCCATGATGTGGGAGGTCTCCACCTCCTAGGAGAGCATCACGTGTGGGGCATGACACAACACCTAAGTCAGTCAAGGATCGCTTCCTGGACAAATCTAGCCTCCTTAAAAGGGACGAGAGACACTCCCAAAACCCTTTCTCCCCACTGCAGGTGACTCAGGAGTTCGTTGACCGGATCTCATCTAAGAATAGGGAGAGGAAGGGCAGGAATTAGATTAAACATGGTTTAATGAGGAATCAATCACCTCCCAGTTCATAAAATACCACAAACTTGGTCTTTCTAGTCTCTTCCTCCAGTTATGAACTAGTGACTGGTCTCCCACTTTTGACCTACCTTTTCCTTTCCCTTTTGTTTTTATTGGGTTTTGCCTCACAGTGACCCCATGTACAACAGAACAAAACCCTGCCTGCTCTTACACTATTCTCACCTACAGAGCCGCAGAAACTTAGAGGGGTTTGACAATGACCACCCTTTGAACTCAGACAAAGTTGAAACTATTAAGCCTCATGAAATGTCAGGAAGAACTGAATTTGCAGGCTGTGCGGTATCCCATTCTCACCCTCACCTCACATCCACCATTATTCTTACGCTGTCTTGTTTGTGTTTATGTCTGGGGCTTAGGAATGTCCATCAGCTGGTATGAGCCCCAAATGCCCTTTCTCGACAAGTGAAAACCTGAAAAATGTTCTGGCTCGGAATCTTTTGTTTTCCTTTATTTTCTTGATTGTTGTCACTCATTCCCCCTGAGAAAGATATGGTAGTCTGCTCCAATAGGAATGAACTCCACAGCAATGGGATTCGGTTTAGGGTTTTGGTCACTCACTAAATCTACCAATGGAGTCCTGATGTGGCCCTGTAAGATCAGTACTGGACTGCTACAACAAGGTTGGTTCAAACCCACTAGTGGCTCCTTGGAAACCCTCCCTACACAGGGTTGCTTTACTTTGGTTTCCCATAATACTATCACACACATTAGAAAACTTAGAGAAAAAAAATCTTAATTTTCAGATATGAGATTAGAAAAAAGTCTTCATTATAAGTATACTTGTTTAGATATGAGCTCAACGTAGAAAGATACGAGACATATATGTCTTTATCTTAAGCTCTGGTAGCTATCAAAGGTTACATTTAATTATTTTAAATAAAATTCAGTAAATAATCCATCAAAAAATGAATAAGCAAAATATGTTATATGCATGCAATGTAATAAAAATAAATGAAGATGGAGACAGCCGAAGTGCCCATCAACTGAAGAATGGATAAACAAATTGTGGTACATACACACAATGGAATATTATGCTACCTTGAAGAATAACAAGGAAGCTGAAAGCCACCACATAACGTGGATAAACCTTGAGGACATTATGTTGAGTGAAATTGGTCAGTCACCAAAGGAGAAATACTGCATAGGATGACTACTGTAAAAGACTAAGAAAAAGAACCCATACTAAAGGGGAGGGGGGAATTCATTGCTGATTACTGTGATGTGAGGGGTGGGGTGAGGAGAGGGAGGGGAAGGTGGAGCACAGGGCAGGGAATAGACACAGGATAGTTTGGGTGCTGGGGAGGAGGGCAATACACAAGAAGGGGGAGGGGAATGGAAGAACAAAGCAGATGGGAAAACAATTAGGCAGGTTTGCATGGGCTAAGTGGGACAGAGGCAAATAATGATGTATGCACAACCTTGGAACAACAGGGCTCTGGGATACAGGGATTGAGGCATGGTTTGAATGGGTAAAAGGGAGGATATAATGTTAAGATACTTGGCTG